TCCTCCCAGAGCAGGAGGGGCTTCTTCTCTGCAGAAGGCTGGGCGTTCCGTCAAGGGGGTCAGCACATCTGCCTGGTTGGCCTGGCGCATCCCCCAGGCTCCTTATGAAGGCTTGGTCCCCATGTGGCAGCTTCATGGGGGCTTTGGGGATTGGTGGATGTCGAGGGCTCTGACCCTGATTGAAGGGACTCCTGGGAGGACCCGCGGTCTGGCTGGAGTGCGTAGATCCTCGGTTCCCACTCCTTCTTCTCTCTGCTCCTCAGCTGCCATAAGGTGACACCCTCCCTCAGCCATGTCCTTCCGCCATGATGCTCGCCCCCCCCCCCCGAGGGCCCAGAGTAATGGGCAGCAGCCATGGACGGCAGCCTCTGGCACCACAAGCCTAGCACATCTTCCTCCTCTAGGAAGACACATGGATGGCAACGGAGCCGCAGAGATGCTGACTGAGGCTCGGTCAGGAGACCCCGGCCAGCCCAGTGGGGGGGCAGGCTGGACTCCCTCCCGGCCAGGTCAGCACCTGCAATGGGTGCATGTGAGCAGAAGCCCCGGGAAGCACCTGGCAGCTGCTCCACTATGTGGCAGGGAGCTCCCTGAGGCCCGCCTGCTCCTGCTCCTGAAGAACCCAAGTGCCCAGCCACAGTCCCCACCCAGGGCACCAGAGCAGTGAGCCTACAGGAGCAGCCAGGCAGGGGACCCCAGGGTGCCTGGGCCAGGGGACAGCAGGAAACGTGGAAGTTTGGGGGCGGGGAACGTGTGTGCGATCCTGACCACTGGTCTCGGGGCGCGTCTGTGTCAGAGCGTTGGACCACACAGCCTGCACATGGGCACATGGACACTTCACTGTTGGTCACACGCTCCTGAGCCAAGACAAACATGGCCCAAAAAGCAGAACAAGTCACATCAGTCATCGCGAGACAGACTTAGGTCAGCAGAGCAAGAACATGTCACCAACGGCCATGTGGGACAGTGGCACTGCTAGGGCACATTTGAACTTGAGCCCACAGAGGACACTGAAGTGTCAACCTGCTGCTCACACCAGGACCCACAGGCTGCCACAGAGCTGCAGTGGCCTCCACAGGCGTGGCTGTGGGGAGGAGGCAGGGCCGCGGCCCCCGCTACTTCTGGGGCAGATGGAGCTGGAGAGAGGTTCAGGCTTGGCTGCCACAGCCCATGATGAACCACCATGAGCTTTGGGAACCGTGGGCAGTGGGCATGGAGGGCAGCAGCCGCTTTGGGCTCAGGATGCTCTGCCTGCCCAGGCTGGCCTTCCTCTCCCTCCTGGGCAGGACCTGGCTCAGCGCCCAGTGTCCAGAAGCCTTCCTGCTGGTCTGAGAGGCCAGGTGGCTGAGGCGAAGCTTCTCCACCCAGCCAGGTGGCCATACGCCTGAGCCAGCTCAGCCCCCACTCTTCTTCCCAAGTCGGTCTCTGCCCACAGAAACAGGCTTTTCCTCTTCAGCCCCTTCACAGAGCCCATAAGACAAAACCCGGCCTCGCAGGTCAGGATGTGGTCACCTTCTCAGCAGGGACAGAGGCCAGGACCTAAGCCCTTCTTGTTCTGGAATCTACTTGACAAATGGCCACTGCTGGAGTCCATCAACGAAATCCCATTTTCCTTTTAAACACTCTGGCCACATTTGGAGTTAGGCTTCAAAACATCTGGAAGAACACAGTGTCTCCTTCTCCAAAGTCTGTGGGTCACGCAGCCCTGGGCCACATTCCTTCATCAGCAGGGGCAGGTCTGGACTGCACGCTTGTCCAGGCCAGCATGCCTTTGGGAGGCTGGCGGGAAATAGCCGGGCCTGGCAGAGCCGGAGACGGAGAGCAGAGGGCGTTTGGCTGGGTCCTGGGGCTGTTTCTACACTCCGCTAGTGACATGGGTGGCTGCTGTCTCCCTGGCCCTCGCCTCCTGCTCCTTGAAGGGCTGTGGGGCTTCGTGGGGTCAGTGGCACTGCCTGGCTTTGCTCTGGCCCCGAGGCCTCAGGAGGTAGCACCCTTTTGGGTGCTTGCTGGCATCTCCTCTTGGAGAGGTGCCCACTCCTCTGCCTAGCTTTATTTTTTAGTTGTAGTTGGCACAAGATCTTTATTTTATTTACATGGAGCTGAGAATCGAACCCAGGGCCTCACACGTGCTAGGCGAGCGCCCGACCGCTGAGCTACAGCCCAGCCCCAGAACAGGGTTGTTTTTTATGTAAGAATTCCTTACAGTGAGACCCCAGATCAAAAATTTTTAAATGAGAGAGGTTTTAGGGAGGCCTTTACTTGTCCTCCAGGAGGGCACAGGCGGAGGGAGACAGCACCTCGAGGGTCAGGCCTCTGTGGACCCGGGGTCTCTGGCCTCCAGCCTCCAGCACTATCCCAGTCTGCTCTGCTGCTTACTTAGCACCCAGCCCAAGGCTCTTGCGCAGCACCCTAGTGGACTGAGCTGCTGCTTCAGAGAGCTGGATATTCAGGGTCCCTTAGGGCCCACGTGCAGCTGGGAGCTGGTGCTTCCTGTTCTGCTGTGGAAAGGAGCGGCATTTCGACAGATGACGCTCTTCGCAGCTCACGGCCAGAGCCCAGTACAGCCCTGCGACAGGCCCTGGCTCCTCTGCTTCCACAAGCTTGTCCAGCTCCCTGTCCAGCTTAGTCCACTGCTGGCCGACCCTTGGAGAACGCAGAGGCCACAGGAAAGCTGTGGCTCTACTCCAACATTACGGCACCAAGCGTAGCTTGCTCTCCCCAGACGACCAAAGTCCCCTCTCAACACCACAGGTGCAGTCCTGGCGCCTACTTCTGGAAGTTTGTGTCGGGCCCACAGGCAGGACACAGTCCCACAGGATGCCTCACTTCAGCGGGCAGTGCAACGTGAGGGTTCCCAGCGTCCCGTACTTCTGTCCAACTTGGCCCCAGGCCAGGGCAGCCCACAACATTTTTAGGGAGTTGCTAAATAGCTCATGTACTCGGGGAATGCTTGGGCTCATGCTCTGGCATAGTGCGAAGGGTGAGCCGAGGACAGAGAGCCGGGCAGGGGCGCACAGGGCGAGCAAGTCCAGAAGGGGCCCCAGCGGGGCAGCCTCTATCCCCTGGAGCTGGGCAGTGCCACCCACCCGGCAAGTGGGCATGTCCACCGACCTGGAAGCTCTCCCAGCCCCATCACTTGGGTTCAATGAGGACAAAGACTAGCTCTGATGGTCAGCCCCAGCTTCAGCCCCTGCCCCATGTTCTCTCCCCAGAGCCTGACCAGACAGTCACTCCCCACCTGAGCCTGCACCCTGAGCACTGCCCACAGAGGAGCCCACACCTCCACCCGACTCCCAGCAGAAGGCTGGATAAGGGCAGCCAGTTGGCACTAGGGGGATGACGTTCAGAGAGGAATGATCACACTCACTCCTCAGTCACGAGCGACGTCGGCACGCCAGGGACACGTGATGCATTGAGGGACGGCACATAGGGACACGTGATGCATTCAGGGATGGCACATAGAGACACGTGATGCGTTGAGGGATGGCACGCCAGGGACATGTGATGCATTGAGGGATGGCATGCCAGGGACACGTGATGCATTGAGGGATGGCACATAGGGACACGTGATGCATTGAGGAATGGCATTCCAGGGACACGTGATGCATTGAGGGATGGCACATAGGGACACGTGATGCATTGAGGGATGGCACATAGGGACACGTGATACATCCAGGGATGGCACATAGGGACACGTGATGCATTCAGGGATGGCACATAGGGACACGTGATGCATTGAGGGATGGCACATAGGGACACGTGATCCATTGAGGGATGGCACATAGGGACACGTGATGCATTGAGGGATGGCACACAGGGACACGTGATACATTCAGGGATGGCACAAAGAGACACGTGATGCATTGAGGGATGGCATGCCAGGGACACGTGATGCATTGAGGGATGGCATGCCAGGGACATGTGATGCATTGAGGGATGGCACATAGGGACCCGTGATACATTCAGGGGTGGCACATAAAAACACGTGATACATTCAGGGATGGCACGCCAGGGACACGTGATACATTCAGGGATGGCACATAGGGACACGTGATGCATTGAGGGATGGCACATAGGGACACGTGATGCATTGAGGGATGGCACATAGGGACACGTGATGCATTGAGGGATGGCACGCCAGGGACACGTGATGCATTGAGGGATGGCACATAGGGACACGTGATGCATTGAGGGATGGCACATAGGGACACGTGATGCATTCAAGGATGGCACACAGGGACACGTGATGCATTGAGGGATGGCACGCCAGGGACACGTGATGCATTCAAGGATGGCACATAGGGACACGTGACAGTTTGGGGACTTACCAAGGAACATCAGCGGAGTCCTGGTGAGATGTGCCAACAGCAGAGACAGAGGTGGGGTGTCTGTCAGGCAGGAGGTGACAGATGATTTCTACCCAGTCCAGGAACAAACGCACAAGCATATGATTTGGGGACCTCAGAGTGACAGCCAGAGCAGCAGCTTAAATGTCAGCGGTAGCTACGGCTGGGCAGAGGGTGGGGAGTGGGGCCGGGCTGTGGGTCCTGAGGAGGTCCTCCAGGCTGCTCAGCAGGTGCTCCTTGCCCAGGAGGACACTCACCCACCCTGCCTGCTGTGTCACGGAGTGTGTCAGTTACAGTGTCCTGAGACAAAGAGTGAAGGGAAGTCAGCAGCCCTCCCAGGCCCTCGGCCGCGCAGGCCAGCTCCCTGCGAGGCCCTTGGGAGTGAACAGGAGTCCCAGGACCAGGGCACACGGCTGCTTGTCACCAGCAAGCAGGAAATGCCAGTCCCGCAGGCTCTGTGGCCCCCACAGAAGTCCTCGGTTTTTGGTGTGTGTGTGTGTGTGTGTGTGTGTGTTGGTCCTGGGGACTGGACACAGGGCGCTCCACCACTTGGCCACACCCCCAGCCCTTCTTAGTTTTTACTTTGAGACAGGGCCTTGCTAAGTTGCCTGGCTGGCCTCCAACCTGTCACCATCTTGCCTCAACCTCCCACAGGCACAGCCTTTGTGGCCTCCATCGACGACTTAACGTCGAGCTCCGGGCTCAGGAAGCTGACAAACAGGAAATCCCCGTTGGACCCTCCTCTGGGACCAGGGTTCTGCCTGGGGCCCAGTGCCTTATGGGAGAAGCCCTGAGGACTGTCAGGAAGGGTCACCGGCTGCAGGGAGAGCACTGGGCAGTGGGAGGGGAGAGCTGCTCCTGGCACCCTTCCCTGGTCTGGGAACCACCCTGGTGGACCCCAGGGCCACCTCCCTGTGGCTCCCCCTCCACACTGAGAACCCTGTCCCTTGTAGTGAGCCCAGTACCCCTTGACCTGGCAGCACTCAGGCATCTGCTGTGAACCACTCTGCCTCAGAAGGAAGAGCACAGGAGCAACAGCAGAGCGTCCCAGCCGGCCCTCTGTGTGCTGTCCACACACACAGTGACCAGCATACCCGATGACCAGCACAGGCAGTGATGGACATGCAATGACCAGCACACACAGTGATGAACACACTGTGATGGACGTACACACGCACATGCAGTTATCAGCTCATGTAGTGACCAGCACATGTGATGACCAGCACAGGCAGTGATGGACACACAGAGTGACCAGCACTTGTGATGACCAGCACAGGCAGTGATGGACACATGCAATGACTGGCACATGCAATGGTGGACACACACTGTGGTGGACACACACAGTGACCCCCACATGTTAGAGTCTGTAAACAAGTCAAAATAACACCTGGCATTTTGCCAGGGGAATGTTAGAGTTCCTAAACAAGTCTGGATGGTGCCTGGCAGAATGCCAGAGGGAGTGGTTTGAGAAGTAACAAAAGCAAGCCATTAAGTGTGGAGATTCCTGATTGGTTGACTGATGTATCCAGTTTATGCTAATTAGATAAGCTGTGTGGAATGTATAAATACTGCTCCTGTCCTGCAATAAACGGCTCCCTCTCCTGCTGTATCAACGTACACAAGTTGTTCGTCACCCCCCGGTTATTTTGCTGCAGCCAGACTGCGGCACCCACACACAGGGGGCATATATATAGGTGGCTATAGGTGGCTATAGGTGGCCCCAGGGCTGTAGGGTTCCCAAACTTCAAGCTGCAGTTCACAGGAGTGGCCAGGGAGGGCAGGGCAGAGGCTGATGGGGCCTCCATGGCAGGGGAAGGGTCAGGGCTCACATTCCATTGAGAAAATGATGTTTTTAACAAGCCGGGAGAGCTGAAGGGAGGGTCTGCCTGTGCTTGAAGTCTCACTGGCTTCGCCCGTTTGGGGGGGATTCTGCCTCTGGGGAGAAGGGGTGGTGCAACCCTGCAGGCAGCTCCACCCCAGGCCCTGCCAGGGCAGGGAGGACAGGGCCTGCTGCATCTGGACACAGGCCTTCCTGGGCCCAGGACCCCTGCGTCGGCTCAGGGCTGGGCCCAGGGAGGCCCAGCCCTGTGAGGAGACAGTGCCCGCCCAGCACTCAGGAGGACCCTTTCCCACAGCTGGCGACGAGTGTAGGGCACAGCTGTCCACAGTGGAGTTCCCAGTCCACAGGCCTGGGGCTGCTGGAGGCCTCTGTGGCTGGGCCCAGGTGCTGTCTGCTTGGCCCTCTACCAGGATAGCCAAGGACCACTCTTGGCTCTGAGCGCCTGTGGTGCCTGCACCAGCCTACCCCCCCCCCCCCCCGGCTGTCCTCAAAGTCTGCAGGTAAGTGCCATCTTACGTCCCTCCCCAGGGCTGCAGCAGGAGGGGAGGGGCCAACATGCGTGCTGCCCGCAGGGCCTGCTCTAAGGAGCCACGGTGCCAGAACTCGGCAGTGCCATGACAAGGTGTCTTCGGGACTGCTGGGTGCCAGCAGCAGAGATGTAGTCTGAGCCACCTTCCACCACGCCCAAGGGGCTTTGTTAGTCGTATAACCACAAGAGGAGACTTCTGGCCTTCAGACACAGCTGGATCTGGCTGCAGGGGTCACCTCATCTCACCTCCCGCTGCCTCTACTCACCCCTGGGCTCCGCTTGGGACAGCCTTCCTACTTGGTGGAGAGTGACCCTGTACCTGGGTCTGCCTCGCCTCCTCAGGCGACCTCAGATGAGACTGACGGCTGCCCTTGCAGCCCTCCAGACTGGCCGACTCACTGCCCTCACATGCTCGGCCAGGCTTGGACAGCCCGCCTGACTGGCGGCCAGAGGCTCGAGCCCCCGGGAGGCGTCTCACTGGAAAGGCCTTTCCAGAAGCCAGAGGAACCCGCGAGCCCACAGCTGACACCAAGCCCACCTGGACGCCGGAGCGCCAGTCCCCAGGGCAGGAACCCTCCCAACTGCAGGGCGGTGTGCTTCAGGGCAACCCTGGGAGCCCCTTCCCAGGAGTGTCCGTCTGGGATCAGAGGACCTGGGTTGACATGTGGCCCACGAACTTCCTGACCTCCAGCTCAGCTCCCAATGTGACCTGCAGGGCCCTGCTGGGCTGGCCTGGGTCCCAGGTGCCGAGCAGGGATCTGTCACGTTAGCACACAGGCCGGCCGCCCAGGGCCCAGTGCACTGCTGGCCGAGGCTGCTGACTGCTGGTCCCCGCGGAAGGCCACTGCTGGCTGGGAGGCACTTGGGAGTGCCAGCGTTCTCTCTCCAGATCGGCTGGGGGTGGGGGTATCCCACTGGAAGCCTGGTGTGGCATAACCAGAGCTTTTCCAAGTGTCACCAGGACCTTTGTAAGCGCACTGTGGAGCTTCACGACTTCAAAGCACTTGCCCCTGAAGTGAGCCCAGGCCATGTGGGCGTGGGCCGTCCTTCGAGGGGCAGAGCTGGGCCACTCAAAGGTGCGGCTGGTCTGCTGGGGGCATGGCTGACCCACCCCACCTGACTGGCGGTGGGAGTGTCTGCGAACTGGGAGTTCACTTCCCAGGGAAATGCGTGACTTCCTCGCCCCAGAGTCCATCTAACCGGCTGACCACGGGCAGGCTGCTCCTTCCTGGGCCCTGCTGTGAGGCCGGGTCCAACATGCTGCAGCAGCAAGTCTGGGACCCCAGGACCGCCCTCCATGGCTCAGGTGCTCCACGCTGAAGATGGCCGACCTGGAGCCCCGTCCACCTGTCAGCACAGCTGGGACACCAGGGGGTTCTGACCAGGGCTGCTGAGAGCCGGGTGCTGGTCAGGTGGACTCCGAGCTTTCTCTGCACCCACCAGAGGAATGACGGCCCCAGAGTGCCCAGGAAAGACATGTGCTGCCAACGTGGGGGTTTCCACATGGTCCACCCATGGTCAGCCCTGCCTCCTCCTTCCCACAGCAGCAACAGCCTCAAATCCCCTGGAGCCCCTTTAAGCCGAGCCCTGATTACGAAATCCACGGACAGACTAGGAAAATATGTGGTGTTTACTTTGTGGCCCCAGAGCTGACATATTTAAACCTTCCATGTGCCAACACTCCAAACCCTGGGCAGGAAGAAAGGATAAAGCCACCACCACCCGGCCAGCTCCCGTGGACAGACACTCCAAAGTCTTCCTCCTAGATGTGTCCAGTCATGCAAGTGGCCCTGTCCCCCACGCAGGGCACCAGGGGGAGAGTCAGGGGCGTGTTGGTGGCCCTGTCCCCCACGCAGGGCACCAGGGGGACAGTCAGGGGCGTGTTGGTGGCCCTGTCCCCCACGCAGGGCACCAGGGGGAGAGTCAGGGCATGTTGGTGGCTCTGTCCTCTACACAGGACACCAGGGAAGAGTCAGGGGTGTGTTTCATCCCTGTCCCCCACGCAGGGCACCAGGGAAAGAGTCAGGATCTGTTGGTGGCCCTGTCCTCCACGCAGGGCACCAGGGGGGCAGGGCTGGGGGAATGCCGATGGTTCTGTGCTGCATTTCTCTGAAGAAATGGAGACAATTTCCTGGGGCTCAGGCAGAATACACAGGGCAGACATGTGGTCATGGGGTGCTGGGTGCGAGGCCTGGGAGGTGGTCACCTCAATGCTAGGACTGGATCAGCAGATCTTCTCCCCACAAGAAGGCACTCAGAAGCTGGTTTCTGGCCCCGTGAAGTCCTCTCAGCAGCAGCAGCCATGGCCTGCAGGGGGGAGCTAGGCAGGCGCTTCCCTCTGCTGTCCTCCGAGACCTGCTCAGTTGCGGGGCCCAAGGGACTGGGTCAGATACGGCCACATGAGGCAGCTCTGGCCATGCACCCCTTCCTGCAGTGTCCTGAACCCAGCTCCAGGAGGGCCCCAGGAGCCCCAGGTGTAGGAGGACAGGTGGCAGGACCACGCAGGAGTCCCTGCAGGGTTGGTGGCCATGCTCAGGAGGCCCTGCACCCCTGACACTCTGCCGCCACCTTGACATTCTCACTGATTCCCTGAGGCTGTCCCTTGGCACAGGCCCCACAGACCACGTTGCTGGTCCCGCCTCCTGTGGACCCTGCCTCCTGTCAGGACATCCCCCTGTCCATGGAGTGCCGCCCTGGACCTCTGCCTGCGGCCTTCAGTTCCTGGGCATCAGGGTCCCTCAGCTTGGCATGGACTCTCAGGCTCCCCCAGCCTCACCTCAGCTTGTGGCTGGTTGGAAACAGGAGGCTCCTCAGGAACGTGGTCCAGGTTCCTGGAGGGCAGTGCTGGACTGTTGGCCCCGGACCTTGTTCCGTCTGGAGCCAGCTGCTCTTCGATAATCCTGGGCAGCTCACGTCGAGCGTAAAAAGGGCACCTGGACCTCACACCTGGGAGGCCCCCTGTGCGACCCCAGTCAGCTACCTATCCCTCCTCAAGACAGGAAAACGCTGTCTCTACCCCAGAAGGTGGACCCGGGGTGGCCAAGCAGAAAGCCCTGTCGTTCTCTGCCCAGCCCCTGCAGCCCCTGGAGCACAGTGCCCTCCTTCGTGCCCACTCATGGTGCCAGGAGGTCTGCCATCGCTGCTGTGGATCCCAAAATCACAGGCCAAAGTCCCAGTCCTGTGCAGTGGACGTAACCTTGTCTGGAAAGGGGTCTCTGTGGCCAGCCCAGTCGGCATGAGTGCATCCTTGGAAGATGGGTCTGGCCCAGGAAAATTGGCAGAGTGCCCAGTGATGTGGAGCCAGGACTGGAGTGATGTGCCCCCAGCAGAGAATGACAGGGTGGAGGGAGGCAGGCTGTCACCTACCGTGGAGCCTCTGAAGTGGCCAGCACTGCCAGTGCCTTCTTGCGAAATCCGGGCCTCCAGACTCACAAGGCGATTGACTTCTATTGCCCTCGGCGCATCTGCCCTGCTTGGCGTTGGCTGGGGGTCTTTAGCTCCCTCTTCCTGGTCTCCAGGTTTGGCAGCAGCTGAGTCAGGCCAGCTATTCACTCCGCTCTCCCAGAAAAACCCGCCAGACTCCTCCTCGCCTCTCCTCTGTGGCTGGAGACGTGCCCCGGGGCTCCTGGGTGTATACAGATGATGGAAGAGGCCTGAGGAGAAGCTTGGCACCCAGAAGTTGGGGCTCAGAGGGCACCACCCCCAAGCCACGCTCCTCCTCCCCGCCTCCCCTCACAGACCAGCCCTTCAAACACTTTCCTAGGGCCCTTGGTTTCAGTCTCTGAAAACCCTCCAGCTGAGCCATAGCACACGTCAATAACACTGTGTCTACAGCAACCACTAAAAGGACACTTAAGGATTTATAATAGAAACACTATAGACAATTCAAGGTGGAATTCTAAAAATTGTCAAAGTCACCTACAAAGGAAGAAAAAAACGGGAGTGAAAAACAGAAAACAAAAAACTAAAATGGAGACGTAAACCCTAACGTGTCTACAAGTACACTAAATGTAAAGGGTCTAACTTCATGAATCAAAAGTCAAAGATTGGAAGAATGGACTACAAACTGTGACCCAACTGTATGCTAGTTACCAGAAACTCATCTAACGTGACAACTGAGGCAGGATGAAAGCTGAAGAAGACTTAAGGCATCTCCCCCAAACATCGACCAAAGGAAATCAGACGCTGTTGTTTTAAATCAGAGAAAAGAGACTCCAGAAAAGAGAACATTGCCAGAGAAAAAGAGGGACATAACACGAAGTTCAATCCACTAAACCACATAGAAGCCTCATTTTCTTTGCAACCACAACAGAGCTATGAAACACTTGAAGGAGCTGAAAGGATAGAAAGGAAAAAGGAACAAGTCCACAACTGTGGCTGGAGACTCCAACACCTCTTTCCAAAAACTGAGAAAACAGCCAGAGAGAAACTCAGCAAGGATATCGAACTCAACAACACGGTCAGCAACAGTCAGATCCATGTGTACAGAACACCAGAGCAACACCTTCCCAAGACAGTGAACACTGCCAAGAAAGACCCGGGCTGCAAGACAAGGCTGAAATACCGGAAGCCGACAGAAAGGGTGGGCTAGCCCAAATGGTCAACCAGGAGTCAGCAACGGAAAGATAATAGGGAAGCCCAACACCTGGAGATAAGCAGCATACACTAAAGAATCCCTGGTCACAGAGGAAACCTCAGATATCAGAGAACAGGCATGCATGCTGAGATGAAGTGCAGTACAGCACGGCAAGACCGAGGGTGCCGACGGGGACCATCAGAATCAACGCCATGCTCTCACCCAAGAGCCCAGAAAACAAGAGCAAGATAGACAACAACGCGCGAGGAAAACTCGTCCGTCGAGTGGGAGTAGAAAGGAAGGGCTTGAGAAACAGGAAGAAAGTGAGCAAACAAGAGCTGCCTCTGAGAGACATGTCAGAGCCACCTGCAGCCTCCTGCTGGAGGGCAGAGATGCGACATCCGGAGCAGGCACCAGGGGCCACACCACAGGCACAGCACCAGAGCTGGGCAGGAGGGCGCCAGGGCCCATGAGCAACTGAGGGGGTGGGACCACAGGGCCACAGCAGCCAGAGCTCCACAACGTCACCCAGGGGTGGGACCACCAGGCCACAGCAGCCAGAGCTCCACAACGCCACCCAGGGGTGGGACCACCAGACCACAGCAGCCAGAGCTCCACAACGCCACCCAGGGGTGGGACCACCAGACCACAGCAGCCAGAGCTCCACAACGTCACCCAGGGGTGGGACCACCAGACCACAGCAGCCAGAGCTCCACAACGCCACCCAGGGGTGGGACCACCAGACCACAGCAGCCAGAGCTCCACAACGTCATCGAGGGGTGGGACCACCAGACCACAGCAGCCAGAGCTCCACAACGTCACCCAGGGGTGGGACCACCAGACCACAGCAGCCAGAGCTCCACAACGTCATCGAGGGGTGGGACCACCAGGCCACAGCAGCCAGAGCTCCACAACGCCACCCAGGGGTGGGACCACCAGACCACAGCAGCCAGAGCTCCACAACGTCACCCAGGGGTGGGACCACCAGACCACAGCAGCCAGAGCTCCACAACGTCACCCAGGGGTGGGACCACCAGACCACAGCAGCCAGAGCTCCACAACGTCACCCAGGGGTGGGACCACCAGACCACAGCAGCCAGAGCTCCACAACGCCACCCAGGGGTGGGACCACCAGACCACAGCAGCCAGAGCTCCACAACGTCACCCAGGGGTGGGACCACCAGGCCACAGCAGCCAGAGCTCCACAACGTCACCCAGGGGTGGGACCACCAGACCACAGCAGCCAGAGCTCCACAACGTCACCCAGGGGTGGGACCACCAGGCCACAGCAGCCAGAGCTCCACAACGTCACCCAGGGGTGGGACCACCAGGCCACAGCAGCCAGAGCTCCACAACGTCACCCAGGGGTGGGACCACCAGACCACAGCAGCCAGAGCTCCACAACGTCACCCAGGGGTGGGACCACCAGACCACAGCAGCCAGAGCTCCACAACGTCACCCAGGGGTGGGACCACCAGACCACAGCAGCCAGAGCTCCACAACGTCACCCAGGGGTGGGACCACCAGACCACAGCAGCCAGAGCTCCACAACGCCACCCAGGGGTGGGACCACCAGACCACAGCAGCCAGAGCTCCACAACGCCACCCAGGGGTGGGACCACCAGACCACAGCAGCCAGAGCTCCACAACGCCACCCAGGGGTGGGACCACCAGACCACAGCAGCCAGAGCTCCACAACGCCACCCAGGGGTGGGACCACCAGACCACAGCAGCCAGAGCTCCACAACGTCATCGAGGGGTGGGACCACCAGACCACAGCAGCCAGAGCTCCACAACGTCACCCAGGGGTGGGACCACCAGACCACAGCAGCCAGAGCTCCACAACGCCACCCAGGGGTGGGACCACCAGACCACAGCAGCCAGAGCTCCACAACGCCACCCAGGGGTGGGACCACCAGACCACAGCAGCCAGAGCTCCACAACGTCACCCAGGGGTGGGACCACGAGACCACAGCAGCCAGAGCTCCACAACGCCACCCAGGGGTGGGACCACCAGACCACAGCAGCCAGAGCTCCACAACGTCACCCAGGGGTGGGACCACCAGGCCACAGCAGCCAGAGCTCCACAACGTCACCCAGGGGTGGGACCACCAGGCCACAGCAGCCAGAGCTCCACAACGTCACCCAGGGGTGGGACCACCAGACCACAGCAGCCAGAGCTCCACAACGTCACCCAGGGGTGGGACCACCAGACCACAGCAGCCAGAGCTCCACAACGTCATCGAGGGGTGGGACCACCAGACCACAGCAGCCAGAGCTCCACAACGTCACCCAGGGGTGGGACCACCAGACCACAGCAGCCAGAGCTCCACAACGTCATCGAGGGGTGGGACCACCAGACCACAGCAGCCAGAGCTCCACAACATCACCCAGGGGTGGGACCACCAGACCACAGCAGCCAGAGCTCCACAACGTCACCCAGGGGTGGGACCACCAGACCACAGCAGCCAGAGCTCCACAACGTCACCCAGGGGTGGGACCACCAGACCACAGCAGCCAGAGCTCCACAACGTCACCCAGGGGTGGGACCACCAGACCACAGCAGCCAGAGCTCCACAACGTCACCCAGGGGTGGGACCACCAGACCACAGCAGCCAGAGCTCCACAACGTCACCCAGGGGTGGGACCACCAGACCACAGCAGCCAGAGCTCCACAACGTCACCCAGGGGTGGGACCACCAGACCACAGCAGCCAGAGCTCCACAACGTCACCCAGGGGTGGGACCACTAGGCCACAGCAGCCAGAGCTCCACAACGCCACCCAGGGGTGGGACCACTAGACCACAGCAGCCAGAGCTCCACAACGTCACCCAGGGGTGGGACCACCAGACCACAGCAGCCAGAGCTCCACAACGTCACCCAGGGGTGGGACCACCAGACCACAGCAGCCAGAGCTCCACAACGCCACCCAGGGGTGGGACCACCAGACCACAGCAGCCAGAGCTCCACAACGTCACCCAGGGGTGGGACCACTAGACCACAGCAGCCAGAGCTCCACAACGTCACCCAGGGGTGGGACCACCAGACCACAGCAGCCAGAGCTCCACAACGTCACCCAGGGGTGGGACCACCAGACCACAGCAGCCAGAGCTCCACAACGTCACCCAGGGGTGGGACCACTAGGCCACAGCAGCCAGAGCTCCACAACGTCACCCAGGGGTGGGACCACTAGGCCACAGCAGCCAGAGCTCCACAACGTCACCCAGGGGTGGGACCACCAGACCACAGCAGCCAGAGCTCCACAACGCCACCCAGGGGTGGGACCACTAGGCCACCACACCAGGCCACCCAGGGCAGCACAGCACAGTGCCCCCCTCTCTCAACAGACTAATATAGTCCTGCCACTTGTTAGAGAAACTTATTGTTTAAAACTCCAAAAAGATGTCTCCACACCCAGGCAGCCTGGGGGCGACTTCTACCCAGTGTTCCTGGAATCGGCATCAATCACTAGAATCTCTTTCGGGAAATATCAAGGTGGGAACATGTCCCAGCTGAGTTTCAGAACGACTATCACCTGGACACAGAAGCCAGACCAGGTAAAACCCGTGAGCAGGACCCTTCCTCCGTATAGATGCAAAGCCCTGGGTAAGCCCTAGCACCGGCCAGCGTGCCACCCAGTGCAGGCGCTCCCAGCTTGGTCCCCAGGGCCTGGAAAACACAGTGAAATGGAAAGATCAGCATGTGGAGGTAGAGACGTGACCCAGTGGAATGAAGGCCAGGCTGCTTCTGCCCTCAGTGGTCGGGAGATGCACCTTGGTGACAAGCTGGGAAGGGAGGGCAGGGGGTCGCCAAGGGAATGGGGGACTGAAACTGCCTTGGTTCAGGCAGCACTGAGGAACCCAGACACCAGGCCTTGGAGGAGAGCGTAGGTTAGATGCGTGCTCCTCCACCCCGTGGGTTCAGAACCCGCACCTCACCCCACGAGGCACCCACGCAGCCATGAGAGGTGCAGGAGCACCAGCCGCAGTGTTCCCAGGACAGCGGGAGAGGCTGCAGGAGCCCACACAGAGCAGCTGGTGAGTCCCCGG